GAAAATTGTATGACTTTGTGGAGATGTTACTGCAATTATTATTTGCATATAAGAATGTGACAGAGGTTGAAAGCAATTCACGAAAAATCTAAGTTGCTGACATTTTCTCCATGTACTTAAATACACTGTACAGATGAATTTGCCTAAAACATTCCTTTGCTTAAAATGCTTTTGTGTTAACTGGATATAAAATGTAAGTGAGCAGAGCAAACAGTATTATTAACAAGGTTAAGTTTCCTTAATAAGTTTTGATCCAGGTTTTAAAAGGTACAGCAATGAATTGACAGACAAAAGAGGGTGTAAAGGGAAAAGGAACAGAACCAAAAGTGGAACTCCAACTTAAGATTTCATGCTTATCAGGAGAAAAACAGGACCAGATGAACTTAAGGTCCCTTTAAGTTCTACATTTCTTTCTTTCTTTCTTTCCTTTTTTTTGAGACAGAGTCTTGCTCTGTCACCCAGTTTGAAGGTTAGTTCAACGCCTTTCAGGCTCAAACTATTCTTATGCCTGCCAAGTAGCTGGAATCACAGGCACGTGCACCACCATGCTCAGCTAATTTTTGTATGTTTAGTAGGGATGAGGTTTCACCATGTTGGCCAGGCTGGTCTGGAACTCCTAACCTCAGGTGATCCATCTAGCACTCCCAAAGTGCTGGGATTACAGGTGTGAGTGAGCCACAGTGCTCAGTCCCAGTTCTACATTTCTGTAAGTATTCCAGGTAGCAAGAAATAATCTTAAAAATACCTCATAGAGACTATGTATAGTTTTTTTACCCTACCTATTAAAATACGCTATTGGTCAACATTATCTGTACTTAAAACTTGAACAATGATGCAGAGGATATAGCTACATAAATATTTTAGTCCCAAAGAGTCATTTAAGGAGACTTATCTATGCTGAAAATCAATCGATATAATTTAACCTACTACTTCAACACTGTAACATGTGACCGTTCACCTGATTACATGAAAGAATAAGTAGTAAAAAAACCAGCATACTCAATGCCAAAATGAGAATGCTTCTTCAAGTAAAAGTTAGGATTCCTAAATGTGGATTTTATTATGCTGATATAAAGTTTTTTTATACTGCAGTACATTTCTGAAATCAAAATGAAAATAAAAATATTATTCAATAAGTCTAAAATGCCATTGGAAATGTAGTTACAAAGAAAGGCTCATTACAACAAATCTACTTCCATATCCTAGAAGATAAGCTATATAGAAGTATGATCTTTTTCTGGTTCTAGAGAATTCCTTTCAATATGAAAAAATTCTACAATGAAGTACTTATGTGGTCTCTGATAGTGGTTAAGAGTTCAAGCTCTGTGATTAGATAAACACAGGTCTGAGTGCCAGCCTTACCTCTTAAAAGGAGTATGAAGATAGCAACATTGTTTGACCTCTTTGACCTTCAATTTCCTTCTCCATACAATGGAATCAAAAATAGAATCCACACTTACAAAGTTGTGATGATCAGGCAGTCTGGCACATAGTAAATGATCAATATATCTTAGCTATATAGTGAAGAAACTTAGCTACAGAAGAGATTTTTAAAAATTCTTCTGATCATCTACTTAGATTCTCCCTTCCAAGTTAAACACCTAAACCTAAACTTGCTTTAAAACCAAAACAAAGAAACAAACAATAGTAGTATAAAAGCAAACCCAATAAGTAGATGTAAGAAATAAATGGGAGAATTCTCTCTCTCTTTCCCTCTCTCTCTCCCTCTCGCTCTCTCTCTCATGTGTGTGTTTCTGCTTGATATTGCCCTCTTTCTACATAACGACTTCTCCTTTTATAATTCACTAGAGAACTCAGACTTCCATTATTTATATCTAGATTTTGTTCTGTGGAAATATAATGTCTAGTAATATATTTACATTAATATTAAATAGTAACTTGTAAAGTGAATATATTATAAAAGAATTACATTTTAATTATTTTCATTTTTCAGGAATTGAATACATTTAAAATATAAAATTCAAATGAGTTCAATGACTTTGGCAATTTAAGTGACTATATTCTCATATTTTGAACCACAAATTAAAGCACTGAATAAGCAACTTCTAAAAATTCCAAACAAATTGACTTAAAAGAAAAAGTTAAGAGACAGAATAACAGAATTGTGCAGGTCTCTTGTCATGTTTCAGGCTGTTTACTGTTTTTATGCTAGCCTTGGTTGATCTGAACAGAATCTTCACACCACGGTGCTAAATACTACTTCACTGTCTTAGAATCATTGTTCCATGCCATATTTATTCCTATATTTTCTTTCCCTCACAGGTATTCCCACATGTCAGAGATGCTTTTTTGACAGAACTCTTGTAATTTAAAATAATAACTTCATTTCCAGCTAATACTGCTTTAAGCAGAAAGCTCTCTGTGCTTGCCAGAATCAGAAGTTATATTAAAGGCTCATATTAAAACCCAACTGGCTATTTGTTTCTGTGTCTGACTGCTCAGAGGGAGAAAGGATGAGCTAGTTGGTACTAATCTATTCCACTTTTTCACACATCTGAGGCTGCCTTTGATTTCTCATTCTATCCCTAGCCCAGGAATCTACAATTCCTCAAAGCGTTTAAGTTGTATAAGCTCTGTTTGGAGTAACTACCAGTTAGTTCTTTATCTGGAATCAAAAGATCTTAACACTAAACCTGAAACTTGAAAAAAAAAATACCAACCACCACCATATTTTATTAACTCACAAAGCATTTCCTTTTTAGAAACATAAAACCATATAAGCTTTTTTGTACCCTTTTGTCCTAAAAATTACTTGTGAGAAATTGCTGAAAAGCAGACAAGGTTGTGTGTATTTCAATGAATTCAACTATTGTTATTTAAGAAATCAGGGTTAGAATTTTAAAGAGAATGCTTTCCTAATTTTACTTCTTTGCTACATCTCTCATTAAGGAAAAAATAACACAGGACATTTGCCCCTTACTTTTTACTATAAAGTTCTTTATAACTTCCTCAATTCCCTTTTCATTCACCAAGATTTACAGAATGCTCGGTATCAGGTATTAAATTACATACGAGAGATAGATTACGAGCTCACGCCAGTAATCCCAACACTTCGGAAGGCCAAGGCAGGAGGATTTCTTGAGGTTAGGGGTTCCAGACCAGTCTGAGCATATAGGGAGATTTTGTTTCTACAGAAAAATCTGGGTCAGGCGTGCTGGCTCATGCCTGCAATCCCAGCACTTTGGGAGGCCAAGGCGGGCGGATCACCTGAGGCCAGGAGTTTGAGACCAGTCTAGCCAACATGGTAAAACCCCGACACCACTAACAATACAGAAAATTAGCTGGGTGTGGTGTCTCATGCCTGTAACCCCAGCTACTCTGGAGGCTGAGGCAGAACTGCTTGAGCCCAAGGGGAGGAGGTTGCCGTGAGCTGAGATCATGCGCACTGCACTCCAGCCTGGGTGACAGAGCAAGACTCTATCTCAAACCATAAATAAATAAATAAATAAATAAATAAATAAATAAATAAATAAATAAATAAATAAAAAGAGAAAGAAATGAGTAGGAGTCAGTGCTGCCTTAGAGATAACAGAATCTAGTGACATAGTAGATTAAGTATTAAAGTTTTGCAGGCAGTATTACTGGAACATAAAGGAGCCATTCAGCAGAAGCAGAGAAAAAATTTCAAAGAAGAGCTAAAACCTGACCTAAAATCGAGTATGAGAGATTTAGTGTTCTAAATACATAACAATATGCACAGAAGCAAGAGGCAATGGAGAGTATAGGAAGGTCAATAGTTTAATATGATCAGAATGAAAGACCTAGAAAGCTCTCTCTTCACTAGCATTTAGTCATGATTGTAGTATTTACAGAACTATTTTAAACTACCAGAAAATCTAATTCTCAATCTTTAAAATGAGAATAATAATTCCTTTCATTAGCATTCTTATGAAAACTAAATGAGATAATATTAACAAGTACTTGTTGGCTTGGTATGGTGGCTCATGCCTGTAATCCCAGAGGCTTGGGAGGCTAAGGCAGGAGGATTGCTTGAGCTTAGCAGTTTAAGACCAGCCTGGGCAACATAGCGAGACCCTATCTCTACAAAATAAAAATAAAAAATTTAGCCAGGCATGGCAGCACTCGCTTGTAGTCCCAGCTACTTGGGAGGCAGAGGCAGGAGGACTGCTTGAGCCTAGGCAGTTGAGGCTGCAGTGAGCCATGACTGTGCCACTCTGCACTTCAGCCCAGGGCAACAAAGCAAAACCCTGTCTAAAAAAGATGAACATATAGGAAAAAATCTTGGGATAAATAACAATTATCCAAGGAAAGATAACTGGCAACCTGTGGTAGGCCATGGTCAGATGTCCAGCTCAAAAAACCTTAAGAAAAGCTCTGACTGACACTGTGTCTGCTTTATTATCTGACATATCTATTGCTTTAACTAGTAAACTTATACTTATTGCCTATGAGGGTAGTACTATTGTTTTTACTCTATTTTAGAGATGGAAGAAGTTATAGTTCAGATACACTAACAGATTTGCTCAACTGTCCTTCTGGTAGGGTAGTCTGCATTTAGAAGCTACCTCTCCTGACTTCAAGACCCTTTTTAATTGTATCAGGCTGTCTAGTAATTTATAGATTGTTAACTACTCAAAAAGGGTTCCAACAAAATCGGCAAGCACTATCTTTCAGGTATTTCTTATCAGTATTGCTCTGGGTATATGGACACTTGTGCCTTTTCAGCCACTCGTGTATAGCACTGTAAATTGCATAAGCACGAGCAGCCGGGCACGGTGGCTCATGTTCGTAAACCCAGCACTTTGAGAGGCCGAGCGAACCCAGGAGTTCATGACCAGCTTGGGCAACATGGCGAAACCCTGTCTCTGTAAAAAGTACAAAAATTAGCCAGACGTGGTGGCGCATGTCTTTGGTCCCAGCTACTCAGAAGTCTGAGGTGGGAGGATCACTTGAGCCCAGGAGGCAAAGGTTGCAGTCAGCCAAGATCATGCCACTTCACTCTAGCCTGGGCAACAATGTGAGAATCTGTCTTAAAAAAAAAAAAAAAATATGTACAAAGCAAACACTCATTTGCTCTATCACTTTATAAAAACAACAAAACCAATAGTTAATACAATTTCTTAGAGGATTTTGTTACATCTATGATTTAAAACAGTAAGGAAATATATCTTACAAGATATGCATGTATTTTAACCCTTTACTTCAAGAAGCTGCAGTGCAATGCCATCAATATATTCATTAATAGTGACAGCATTGTAACTGATGGCTCTGAATAGTCCCTAAATAATGAGATTTCATGATGCTCAAATATTAAGCCCAAGTTCTTCATCCACCTCTTTTGTCAGCAGCTTTTCTCTCCTACTGCAATTAGCCATCTGACATCTGTTTCATTAGTTCATGGCAAAAAAGAATCTGATTTGACAAAGAGGCAGCTCTCCAAAATATGTATGAAAGAGTAGTAGAGTCAGTTCATTTTACCCAATGTTAAATCTAGTATGCTTGGAAAAGAAACTTCTAATTTGAATACTAAATAACCCACTGCTTTTGACTTCCAAGACTTATATATCTGCCCAAGTTAAAAACCTGTAACACTTGTGTATTATTTTATGCTAAAGATGTCCACAGATACTTATTTCCAAGGAGGAAAAGTCAATTTTTGTATTTAGTTATGAGGATAGGCTAACTGTATTAAAATCAAGTGCTGCTGGAAATTTCAAATTTCAAGCAAGTCAAACAAAACTTGTTCCCTTTTCTTAAATTGCGTATTATAATTTAACTGTTTTATTTGTTCTCTATTTCCTTAACCCTCAATGTGGAGAAGTTAGAGAAAACCCTAATAACAATATTTTAAAGACCCAAACTAATGTTGAATAGAAAAATAACATTATAAAACAGCCTGCCATTCCTGAATCCTGAATGTTCCAGGAAATTCACATGTCAAAATATTTTACTATCTGCTGCCCCCACTACAGTTAACAACACGCTCTCGCATACAAATGTTAGCATCTAATTACATACAAACACTTTACATAGGAAGTAACACATGTAAAGGAGTAACAGATCATGTTACCCTCTAAAATAGTTACTAAAAACAATTTACCAAAAATCAATTCAAACAAAAATCAACTTGTTTTCTTTTCTTTCTCACTTATAATTTATTCTACAGATTCCAAATTGCATTGTAAGGCAATATAATTATTTTAAACAGGATGCATATAAATAATGTTACATTAAATAAAAATTAAATTAAAAGCATGTTTTCTAAAATTAAGTGTCTGGATACTTATCAAACGTCATTTGTGGTTGGGAGAAGAAACAAAGATGGATAACTCATAGTGATCAGACAACAAAGATTGATAGCATGAGGAAAGCAGCATATATCCTCTGATTTGCATATTAACTATGAAATAATTCAAATTGCCAATCTAATTTCATAGATTATATTTTCAGCAGGAATTTGTGAAAAAGACACCACTCTTTTCCTTAGCATATGCCTAGAAATCATGATATAATGCTAATAACTGTGAAGTTCCCTGCATTTTCTGCATTTTAAACCTGAATCCTATATCAAATAAGCCATAAATACAACCATTAATACATCTAAAGAGGAGATGTACAGAAGTCAATTGAAGATTCTTAAGGACTGAGACATGCTCCAAAAACTACAATGCTGTGACTCCAATGATTTTGGACATGCTATTTCTATAGCATTTCTCAACACAGAGAGAAAATCATTTAAAATAACTTTCTCATTAGGTGATTTAACAATCCAAGCTTTGAATTCAGATATACAATTCACCAGAAATCTTACTTTGATATACCTTTGATCAGCATAAGCTTGTAATCTGAAATTTCCAGCAGTACTTTATTTCCATTTATAGAGTCGGCTTACCCTCATAACTTTAAATATAAGCATTTTTTTTTCCTCCTTGGAAATAAATATCTGTAGATATCTTAAATAAAATAATAGTCCTATTAATAAAATAATAGTTCTATTAAGGAACTTCTCTGGCACAGCAACTCCCTCCACAATGATTTCAGCTACAGAAATCATCAGATGCTAGGGGCGCTTGCCACTTCACTCTATGTTTAGGTTATACAAATTAATGGGATTTAAAATTTAATAAACCAACTTTACTTGCCAAGATTGACTTATTTTGGAATCCACAAGTTGTTTTATATTCCTACAATGTTAATGTCCTAGTGTGAAGGTTATTGGAGTATATGCTGTTAAATTTGACGTTTGATCTAAATAATGAACATTTTTTCATGTCAGCAATAAGACTCATAGCTTACGTTACCATTTTTCCACTAAACTTATTACTACAGAGTAACAATCATATCCTAGATGCGACATTATCAGAATGGTTTTTACTCCAGCACACTGAATAACCATTAACCTGCAGCTATATCCTTTCACCACTAGATGAAGCTTGAGTACAGGTGATGTGAAATGTGGAGTGCAGTCTTAAAGTGGAGTACAGGTCGCTAGGAGAAAACAATGGGAGAAGACAGAAGTCTGATGTAAAGAACAGATTTTGATTAAGCAATATTGTGGAGGCAAAACTGCCACATAGCAAAAGCTCAGAGTATCTGCTAATTGTCAATAAAATGATGCTGTTCCAATTAGTGAAATTTCTCCTACTGATATATTTCATAATGCAGAGGAGATGGCTAGCTGCTATGGTGAATAAAAATAAACATAGAGTCAGTTACAAACTATGTTACCTGCAGATTACTTGACTTTGTGCCAGTGCCTTAAACTTCTGAGACTCAGCTTCTTCATCTATTAAAAAATGAAAACACTAGACGAGTAATCACACCCATGAGATGGGTAGCTTAGGAGGGCTAAGTTACCTTTTAACTTAGTGAAGTTTACAAATGGATGGAACAATCTTTCCAAAAAATATGCCTGTTGAAGTCCATTAAGTACCTATCTGGAAATTTACCTTGCAAGTTCTCTATATTTCCTAAAAGTCTTGTGCTTATGTAAAAGTGAAAGTTTTTAAGATTTATCTAATAAATATATAATGGTAAACATGAAAAAAATTTAATATAAGAAAATGATTTTATTAATCTCAATCTCTTATGAATTATAGATGCAAATTGCTGATTTCATTAAATATTTCACCTAATATTTACTGAACAGTAATAAATGTTATTTTTTTCTTCCTCTAAGGAGTTTATATTTCTAGAGAAACACAATTGATAGACATAGTAAATATGGTCTTCTCAAATGGTTTTCCCACTTCAACTAGTTATTCTGTTTTAAAAAAGAAAGTCCAGGTACTTAAGTCTGTAGAGACAACAAAAGATGTATATTTTTACAAACAGTAAAAATATTTTAACAAACCAGTTAATATGATTTATTTTGCTCTCTTACAGAAAAAGTATAGACATTGTGAGCCCAATTTCAATTTTTAAAATATGCATAAAGATTGGAAAAATATACATTAAAATGTCAGCAGTAATTTTCCCTCATTATTTCTTGCTTTTTCGATTTTTCAGCAAAGAATCTGAATTACTTTTATATAATTAGGAAAAATGCTTACATTAATATTATTGCTTATTTATGGTGATAAAATACATAACCTGTCACAAAGATATTTTTATAAAAATATGATGTTACATATTGATAAAATATATCAATCTGATTTCGAAGAAAATAAAGTCTGAAAATTTCAACTTTCTCAAAATGCAGAGAAATTGTTTCCCTGTACAAGGACTCACTCTACTGGTGACACAGAGAATATACTTAATCTGACATTGCTGAAGTAACTGCATATTTTCCATAAACACTAGAGGGCAGGGTTTTGACTATAAAACTCAACTTCATTTGTATTAGTGTGTGTATATATAAATATTTTACTTATATTTGGGTATATATATCATTTATATTTGTATATATATATACACATTATTTTGTACAAATGCAAAATGTATATACACATTATTTTGTATAATGAACTCTTCGATTCAAGCAACTCTTTTGCCTCACTCTTCCAGTAGCTGGGACTACAGAATATATATAACACATTAGTTGTGTATATATTATTTGTATTTATAATGTGTATATATATGTTCTGAATTTATATGCAAATATATACATATATAATATACAAATATATATACACATCATTTATATTTTGTATTTATACAAATGAATGTGTCTATTTTATATTTTATTTATATTTTGTATTCATTTGTATATACATAACATATATTTTGTATATATTTCAAAAACATTTTTAGATATTTAGTAATAAATACATAATCTAAGGCTTTAATATGACACTATTTCATATTAAAATTGGATCACTAGGCTGGGTGCAGTGGCTCATGCCTGAAATCCCAGCACTTTGTGAGGCCGAGGTGGGCAGACTGCTTGAGTTCAGGGGTTTGAGACCAGCCAGGGCACATGGCAAAATCCTGTCTCTACAAAAAATAGAAAAATTATTTGGCATGGTGGTATACCTACAGTCCCAGCTCGTCAGGGACGGAGGCAGGAGACTCACTTGAGCCTGAGAGGTGGAGGCTGCACTGAGCCGAGATGACACCACCGCACTCCAGCCTGGGTAAAAGAACCAGACCAGACCATATCTCAAAAAAACGCCAAAAACAAAAAAAACGTAATTACTAATTGATATGGTTTGGCTGTGTCCCCACCCAAATCTCATCCTGCAGTTCCCATAATTCCGACATCATAGGAGGGAACTGGTGAGAGGCAACTGAATCATGAGGGTGGTTCCGCTAATGGTGTGTGAGTCTCATGAGATCTGATGGTTTATAAAGGGCAGTTCCCCTGCAAATGCTCTCTTGCCTGCCACCACGTAAGACGTGCCTTTGCTCCTCTTTTGCCTTCTGCCATGATTGTGAGGCCTCCCCTACCATGTGAAACTGTGAGTCAATAACACTTCTTTCCTTTATAAATTACCCAGTCTCAAGTATATCTTTATTAGCAGTATGAGAAGATTAATACAGTAAACGGATTATGACAAGAAGATGTGGGAAAGTTTGGAACTTCCTAGAGACTTGTTGAATGGCTTTGACCAAAATGCTAATATTGATATGGACAATGAAGTCCTGGTTGAGGTGGTCTCCGATGGAGATGAGGAACTTACTGGGAACAGAAGCAGCAAAGGTGGATTTTTTGCTATGCTTTAACAATGAGACTGGAAGCATTTTCCCCCTGCCCTAGACATCTGTGGAACTTTGAACTTGAGAGAGATGATTTAGGGTGGTGGAAGAAATACTAAGCAGCAAAGCATTCAAGAGTTGAGTTGGGTGCTCTTAAAAGCATTCAGTTTTATTCATTAACAAAGACACGGTTTAGAATTAGAACTTATGTTTAAAAGGGAAGTACAGAGTAAAAGTTTGGAAAATTTGCAGCCTGACAATGCAATAGTAAAGAAAAAACTATTTTCTGAGAAATTCAATCCAGCTGAAGTAATTTTAAAAGTAGTGAGGAGTCAAATGACTGCGAAGACAACGGGGAAATTGTTTCCAGGGCATGTCAGAGGTCTTCATGGCAGCCCCTCCCATCACAAGCTAGGAGACCTAGGAGAAAAAAATGGTTTCATGGGCCTTGCTGCTTTGTGCAGTCTCAGGACTTGGTACCCTGTGTCCCAGCCATGGCTAAAAAAGGTCAATGTACAGCCTACCCTTGATGGCTTACAAGTGATGTTGGGTCTGTGGGTACACTGAAATCAAGAATTGAGGTTTGGGAACCTCCACCTAGATTTCAGAGGATATAGAGAAATGCCTAGATGTCCAGGTAGAGATGTGCTACAAAGGTGCAGCCCTCATGGAGAACCTCTCTGCTAGGGCAGTGCAGAAGGGAAATGTGGGGTGGGAGTTCCCACATAGAGTCCCCACTGGAGCACTACCTAGTGGAGCTGTGAGAAGTGGGCCACTAGAATGATAGATCCATTGACAGCTTGCACCATGTACCTGGAAAAGCCACAGACTCTCAATGCCAGCCTGTGAAAGCAGTCAGGAGAGGGGGCTGTACCCTGCAAAGCCACAGGGGCAGAGCTGCCCAAGATCATGGAAAACTACCTCTTACATCAGTATGACCTGGATGTGAGATACGGAGTCAAAGGAGATTATTTCTGAATTTTAACATTTGACTGCCCCACCGAACTGTGGACTTGCATGGGGCCTATACCCCCTTTGTTTTGGCCAATTTCTCCCATTTGGAATGGGTGTATTTACCCAATTCCTGTATCCCCCGTGTATTTTAGAAGTAACTAACTTGCTTTTGATTTTACAGGCTCATAGGCGGAAGGGGCTTTCCTTGTCTCAGATGAGACTTTGGACTATGGACTTTTGAGTTAATGGTGAAATCTGGGGGACTGTTGGGAAGGCATGATTTGTTTTGAGAACATGAGATCTGGGAGGGGTTGAGGCAGAATGACATGGTTTGGCTGTGCCTCACCCAAATCTCATCTTGAATTACACTTCCCATAATTTCCATATGTTGTGGGAAGAACCCTGTGGGAGGTAATTAAATTATGGGGGCAGTTACCCCCATACTGCTTTTCTTTTAATATTGAGTGAGTCTCACAAGATCTGACCATTTTATAAAGAGCAGTTCCTCTGCACATGCTATCTTGTCTGCCGACACATAAAATGTGCCTTTGCTTCTCCTTGGCCTTCCACGATAATTGTATGGTCTCCCCAATCATGTCAAACTGTGAGTCAATTAAACCTCTTTCCTTTATAAATTACCCAGCCTTGGATATGTCTTTATTAGACACCATGAGAACAAACTAATACACTAACAAATACATTGAAAATTGAGGCCCTTTATTAAATTGATTCTAATTTAATAAAAAATGCAAAGATAATTTTTTTTAAAAATTAGTTAAATGCTCTCAGAATAGCAGATCTTTAAGAGAATACTAAAACCTTCTCTAACCCCAAAGGGTTCTTACATTTATAAGGTTTATGAATTGTGATGGCGATAGAAGAGAAGGTGAGAGAGAAAACGAAACTCCAGGAAGAGAGAACACCAAGAGTAAAATCATGACTTCTCAAAATTGCATAGTTTATGAGGGGCATGTCAAGCTAATCTGGTATGTGACTACAATATAGGGTGCAGTAGGGAAATAGTGAGGATGGAAAAGTGGGATAGGGTCATTTGGAGAAAAATTGTGCTACTATACTTAGGAGCTGGACTTTATTCTAAAGGCAATAGGAAAGCTACTGAAGACTTTTAACCAATAGAGAGCTGTGACTAGATCTCTTTTTATTAACGGAAAGACAGCAGTTCAGTTGTATCTTGGTATCTACTGGGAGATTGGTTCCAGGATTCCCGCAAACACCAAAATCCATGGATGTTCAAGTCCCTTACGTAAAATAGCACTGTTATTTGCCTATAACAAATGCACATCCTCCCAATACTTTAAATCATCTCTATATTAATTATAATGCCCAATATAAAGTAAATGCTGTGTAAACAGTTAAATTGTTTTTTTATTTGTATTACTTTTTAATGTTGCATTGTAATTTTTACCCCCAAATATTTATCCATAGTTGGTTGAATTCAAGGATGTGGAGCCCATGGATACACAGGGCTGACTATATATAGGGTGAATTAGAAGAGTGAGAACTTAGAGGACAGAAGGCAAAGAAGTCAAGTACACTGGCCTTAAATAGTATAAAAACAGTGAAAATGCAAACAGGAAGTATTCTAATGACATTTAAAAAGTCATGAAAGGCTGGACTTGGTGAATGGGCAAATACGATGAATAAGAATTTCAAACCCTGGTGAGTGAAATGGGTGAATATTGATGGTTTCAAGGCAAAGACTAGAGTTTTAATCACTCTAAGTGCAAAATGCTTCCTGAAATCCAGGTAACAAGGTCTATTAAATAGCGAGAAATGTGTGGCTAGAACTCAGAGAAGTGAGATATAAATACAAGGAAAAGCATATGATTACTTTTTTTATGATTTATGAAATGAGTCATATTACCTTAGACTTATACCTGTTATTAAAGTAAATTTCTAATTGAGTGGTATCCATGTAAACTATGGGATGGCATTGTACTGTTAGGTTTAACTCTTAGTCAATTTAGATTATTTGTCCACCTCAAAAACACAGAACTAAAATTTGCTGGAAAGCATATGACTTATGTTTCATATACAAATAGGGATTAAGACATTTAAAATATATACATACACATATTACACACACACATATATATATCTATATATATATATATTCACATTTCATTTGAAGTCAAGCCAAAATTATAAAAGATATATTTATGGGACAAAAAAATTTGAGAGTTTACTAATAATGAAGGCCAGGAGTACCAACGATTATTAATAACTACAATTGGTATAACTTCACATTTATAAAGTCTCTCAAATGAATGTTTTTATCTCTACAACCTGTCTATGAGGTAGGCTAGAGCTGGTACTAACAATAACAATAGCAAGAATTAGAATAACATACATAAATTTAATACAATTCAGTTTATTGTCTGCACATCCTCCCCAAATTTCTAGAATAAACTAGAGATCTTAGATGTTCTTATTTGGAAATTTATATTTAAAATTGGAACTTTCCCGGCATGAATAAACTAGATTGGAACACTATTGAATTTTCTAAAATTTTCCGAAACATGGAAAAGGAAAATATAAACCAAAGAAATTTAATGCTTTTCCACTATGAAAAGCATCCAATCTGGTCTAGACATATAAATTAGGTACCATAAATGTTTGCTAATTATTACACAAAGTTAGAATTCTAAGGAAAAGTCTGGTCGAATTATTATGTCATTTTAACTCTGGCCTTGTATGAACCTTATAAAACTTTCAAATTGCTGGCATTAATTTTGCCTTTACAAACTATTTTAAATCAAATTCCATTCCAAAAGGACAAATAGTCATCAAAGGTTCTTAGTTCTGTGATAATTCCCTGAATTTGTTTTTAGAAAACACAGCATTATCTAGATATAGAATTTTAAATACTATTCTCATGTATCTAAAGGCTGAGCCTACAAGCTGAAAAGTCTCATATCATTCATGTTTTGTAAAGACTGGAGCCTCTACATATCTCAAAGTCAGCCTCTTACATCTGTGTATTTTAGTATTTTCAAGAATTGAAACGTGTTTAAAAAATAAACAGGAAAAAGGAATACTTACTTGAACCTGGTAGGTGAAAGAGGAGTAGGAGGAAACATTCCTGGTTCAAAAGAATCAAAGTAAGTCACTGTCCAAGAAAAGCTGCAACAGGAGAATCCAGCGGTTAGGGATATTATAAGTAGAGTCCAGAATCCTTAACAGGAAAAGAGAGGGGAAAAAGTAGATTATTAATACCAAACAATTTAAATTAAACCAGTATTCTCATGTTCAGATCACATATAATTCTCATCTACTAAATTATAAGAAGCTGACATTACAAGAGATTTGAACTTAGTGCAAGCTAACCCATGTAGAAGTATATATTACTAAAGCACAACTAGAAGTCATATCATTGAATATTTTAAATGATAATGTGAAAAGGGGTAAATTCAACAAGAACATAACATCTTCAGTTTTGTAAAATTCAACCACAGAAAACATCGTCAAAATATTTCACAAGATTCATAACATGTCTTGAGGCCAGACCAGCTGGCTCATTCCTGCAATCATAATGCTTTGGGAGACTGATGTGGCAGAATGGTTTGGGGCCAGGAGTTTGAGGTTGCAGTGCGCCACGATTGTGCCACGATTGCACCATGGCACTCCAGCCTGGGAGACAGAGTGAAACCTTGTTAAAAAAAAAAAAAAAAAAAAAAGTCAAGTCTTAAGATGTTTCATGTAATTTCATAAATCGTACCTTATCTTCATTATTTGGTATTGATTCATTTCACTCCACACCATGCACTTTTGAAACATGCATCAATTTGGGGGTATCTCCTCTTTACAATTTTCTTACAAACATTATAAACCTACTCTGATTCTTAAACCTTGCTCAGTATATGAACAAAAGTTGATTTCTGATTTACAAATGTGTGGGACCCTAGATTTTATTTGCATTGAGTTTGGAACTGTATTTTCTCACAGAAGTCAAGTCAAAAGAACGCTATTACAATGGGCTTTAGGAAAAGGGTTGAGAAGAATAGAAGGCATAAAAAGAAAGGGGTAAGTTAATTTAAAGGTTTTTAGATACTATTCATAACCCATTAAGAGTAATAAAAGAATAATGACTTGTTCTTGTGGTTACAATAACGAAATACTGATATTTAAGTGGCCAACTCCCTTTAGTAAGTACAGCTTTATTTTGATGTGAAGTTTTCAAAAATTTTATACATTAACTCACTTATTCATCTACTCAATCTATATTGAGGGGCTACCATATGTTGGTTATTGTGCTAGGTGATGGGGATACAGTGGTGAGGAAAACAAAAAAGATTGCTGTCTTCATGAAGTAATTCTAGTGGGACAGAAAGATAATAAACATGCAAATAAATTAACAAGATAACTGTATATTGTGATAACTATTTTGAATAAATAAGATGTTACCACTTTAAGAAGGTAACATCAGAACTCAGATAAAAAATGTGAACACATTTTTCCTGGAAGAATAACAGTTAATTCTAAAATTCACATGAAATAATAAGCAAAAATAGAGACTAGTCCAACCAGACATTGACATATTATAGGACCTAAATACCTAAAACAGTGTGTACTGATAAACAAACAGATGACAGGGCCGGCCGTGGTGGCTCATGCCTGTAATCCCAGCACTTTGGGAAGCCGAGGCAAGAGAATTACTTAAGGCCAAGTAAGGGTTTAAGACCAGCCTGGCCAACATGGTGAAACCATCTCTATTAAAAATACAAAAATTAGCCAGGTATGGTGGTGCATGACTGTAATCCCAGCTACTTGGGAGACTGAGGAAGGAAAAGTGCAGTAAGCCAAGATAGCGCCCCTGCACTCCAGCCTGGCGACACAGTGAGACCCTGTCTCAAAAACAAACAAAGACACAATGGAACAAAGCAGAATACAAGATCTGGAAGAAGGCAGAAGAAGGCCCAAATAGATTAATACAAAATTTTACTAATTCAATGGGGTGACCACTTACAAAAAGGAAAATAAGCTGGATCCATACCAGATACTCTGTACTGGCTAAATTTCACCAAATAATCTAAAGTTGTAGAAAGAATCACTGGAAAAGTCATTTATAGCTTTGGAGAGAGAAAGGCCTTTCTAACCATAATACAAAATTCATGACCTATATAAGACATAACATTTCAACTATATACAGTCAGCCCTTCCTATCCACAGGTTCTATATCTGGATGCAAAATATTTGGAAAAAAAATAAAAGTAACCATACAACAATAAAAATAATGCCAATCAAAACCAACACATTATAACAACTATTCACATAACAGTTACATTATATTAGGTATTACAAAGAGTCAATGGGAAGATGTGGATAGGTCATATACAAATACTATACAATCTCATATAAAGGACTTGAGCATCCACAGATTTTGGTATCCAGCGGGGTTCCTGGAACCAATCCCTCAGATACTGAGAGACAATCGTATATAGGTAGACACACATACTACCATATATGAATAGCAAAATCAAATGTCAAACTGAACAACATAAAAATTTTAAATAATATACATTTGCAACTTAGAGCAAGAAGGGAAAATCTCCTACAATATAGATTAATTCCTAGAAAACAACAAAAAAAGGCCAGCAATCCAAAACCCAATATATAAATAGTTAAATACAACTGCAGAATAAAAACTATAAATGTTGGAACATGAAAAGACGCTCAATTCAATACCATTAATAATAAAGATAGATTATCATTTTTTTCATCATCAACCGACAAAAATCAAAAAGTTGGATAACATTCTCTGATGCTGAGGCTGTGAACAGAAAATCTTCATGCATGGTTGTTTTGGGGAGTAAATTGTTACAATTTCTACGGAGAGCAGTTTGGCAGTATCTGTTAAAACAATGCATGTATATGTTCTTTACTCAAGTAATTTTGTCCATCTTTAGGAGAGCATGCCTCTGTATACTGTACTAAAAAATACATACCTGCATAAAATGATGTATATACAAGGTTGTTCTTTGTAGCTTTGTTTGTAATTATATAAATTGGAAACAATCTAAATAATCAGTAATGAAGGTAAAGGATTGATTAATTAAGTACATCCATATAATGGAATACTATGCAGCTTTAAAAATGAATGAGGAAGCTCTTTATGTACTGATATGTAAAGATCCTGAAAATATACTGGTGAATCCAAACTGAAGGCTCAAAACATCTCTATGCATTTGTATAAAAAAGAAGAAAATATGTATTGTACACATACATATGCTGTATATATGAAGAAATATATATTGTAGTTAGATATTTAAAAATATTTCTGGAAGGATGTAAGAATTTAACATTGGTTCTCTGGGGAAGGAGGAAAGAGTGGTTGGGAGGAAAGAGTAAGCCTTTTCAGTCTATACTCATTTATACTTTTTGAATTTTGGCCCATATGACTATTCTACCTATTCAAAATAGAACTAAGTAAGCTTATAAAAAAATTTTTTTTCAGTCAGGCAGTCCTTTTTGAACAGGGGAGTCATATCAGAATCTTTGTGGACTCATTTTCAAACTGCATCTTTAAGACAGGTTTCTGAAGTGTGTGTGTTCCAAGCCTCAAGAATATAGGAAGGAATCATTGAGAACACTAGCAGATGACTTAGGAATTACCAAATTTCCTGACTACACAAAATTATCCACGAGTCTTTAGCAAGGAGCAGGTAAAATGTATATGCATTGGACTGTCTGTAAATCTTGTGAAGCTCAGTAACAGACTGAAAAAAAACAGTTGAAGTACAGACTCAGAGGAATTATTCACAAAAAGTATGGTAATTTTTGAAAGATTAAATTATTTCTCCTGATTGTTCCCTTCTCCCATCCCCCACGTCAAAGAGCTAATGGGCTCTTGTGTTCCTTTCTCCAGAAGAGGGATGTGGCAAAGCAGAAAGGAGAAACAGCTTTTCTACTTTTATATTGCAAAATATTTACGGAAACACATACAGATATAATCAGGGGTAGGAGTGCGGATACAAAAAATGTCTTGAATGCACAGCAAAAGACAATAAGTTGATTGGAGTACAGATAAAATATTTGTGTGGAACAGGGAAAAAGAGAGTAAAGGGTTTATCCACAAGTGAGAAAGATTTCCCTGGTTTAAATAAAGTATGTCGTATGCATGTTTGCACTGTGTGTGAATGGGGAAAGGGAGTAGTGCTACTGGGGCTTAATGACAAAGCATCTAGAAAAGCCCACACAAATCCACACAGGGAGTGTAGCTGTGTACAGTATCTCGGTAGATAAGTACAGAGCCAAGCCTGCAGATGCTTCTGCCCTAAGCTAGGCATAAAAACAGCAGATGGTCATGTGACTGGAAGTTGCTACATCCGCAAGACTATCCTGACCACAATAAAAGTTGTTTCAATCCTCACTTGAGCAAATGTGTTTGAGGTTTAGTCTGCACCTTCACTCCAATATCCTGGCACAGTATTCACTTCTAGCTCCCCAACCCAATCTGGAATTCGGTGAACAGAACCTTAGAATAATCTTCCTACCAACCCATCACGCTAGAGGGTCAAAAAAGAAATTATAAGATTTAGTGTACAACTACAACTTATGGATTGCTATATTGTCAAATAACTTATTTGCTATTATTTAGATGACTGTCTAAAGAGGGAAGAAAATAATTGACAGGTCTAAAGAGAGGAGATAATTGACAAGTTTACTCAAACTTTAACATACTTCTCCAGAACAAAGATGGCAGTTAAGAAAAATAGTGTTTGGGGACCAGATGAAACTTCTAGGTAAGTGAGGAAAGACACAAAGTAACATAAAATAACCAAATGTGAGGCCTTCTAAAGCCTATTAAGTTTTTCACTTGGATATTTTAATAGGGTACCTATCAAATTTAATACAAGAATATTCTTGGGTTTTTCCAAAATTATTCCACAATCTAAGTATTTACCTCACACTGAGCATTTTAATTATTTTATGTTCATTTTAAACTAATTAAAAGTTGCATCATCAATAAGTCAGGTCGCAATGATAGGGCTAAAAAAAGTACATTGCAATATTGTGGTCTACAAGTGCTTATGATTTGGGAAATTACTCAATTCGTTTACAAATAAGCAGAAAAGCCACAGAAATTGATAACTTCCAACAACTAAATTTGTTACAAGTCAGTTATCTGCAGAATCCTCATGCTAAAATTTTGATGTTTTATAAGCCCATTTTAGA